GAGGCTGCCACCCCCGCCGCCGCCGCCGCCGCCGCCTCTCCCAGAGAAAAAGCTCATCACCCGCAACATCGCCGAGGTCATCAAGCAACAGGAGAGCGCCCAGCGGGCTTTACAGAACGGACAGAAAAAGAAAAAGGGGAAAAAGGGGAAGAAACAGCCGAAAAACGTCCTAAAGGAAATAAAAAATTCCTTGAGGCCAGTGCAGGAGAAGAAAGCCGAAGACAGTTACCGACCTTCTACCCCACAGAGATCTGCCCATGACAACCTCATGGAGGCGATCCGGGGGAGCAGCCTGAGACAGCTAAGGCGGGTGAGTACCCCGAGGAGACCCTGGGGCTCAGGCCCCCCTTGCACAGTGGCACCCAAGTCGCCTCCCAACATGCTTATCACTATTTTAACGTGCGAGAGCAAGCCTACCACCAAGTTTGTAACATCCAGAGCAGGTGCCTGGTGAGCCGATTTCCACTTGAGAGAGGTGTCTGGTCCTTTCAGGTTTTTTTTAAGGGCTAGCCCCATGTAAACACGCCACAACATATAAAAATACTGATTCAATTAACAATAATAAATAAATAAATAAATAAATCAGGGAGTATAATCTGCATTCCAAAAAAGTTCACCACTTGTCAAAAATGTTACCGAAGGGTTGCACGTGGTTTCAAACCCAATTTGTAATATACAATTTTAATACCCGGTATCGAAAACCAATCCATAGCTGAGTTCCTCCCCGAGAATCCTGCTGGGGACATACCTCAGAGATATTTTTCACTTCGTCATTTGTGTTGTTTTTATTGAAAGAAAACCCCCTATTTTTGTAGGTGGAAGTTCCAGATGCTCTGCGATAAACACAATCTTGAGAAGAGGATGCAGACTTATTCCTTGGCGTTAAATGAAACGCATCGGGAGATGCTTCTAAAGTACCTTCTTCAACTGGAAACGTCCTCTGACATTAAAAATAGCCTCAGCCTCAAAGTCCAAAGAGAATCTTAAGAATCTTCTGTAAATATGAAAATAAACCTCTTTTTTAATGTCATGAGATTTGGATTGGCAGGAAGCAGTTTGTTTAAAGATGCTTCATAGCTCTGAGCTGCTGAGTTAATGAAATACGCTGTTATTTTTGTAATCCCAATAAATTTGGATTGAAGTTTTTTTTTAAAAAACAACAAACTAATATTTTTTTGTGAGTGGATATATTTTCAGGTGTGTATGTAACATTGTTGAATATTAAAAATATTACAGTATCACCCAAAAAAGGGTTTTGGTCCTTAGCATTTGCTTTTCTTTGTCTTCTCCAAGAAAAACGTAATCAGAGCTCTTTCTAAAGGTCTGGAATCAAAAACTCTCTTTACAGTCATCTTGGTAGTGAGATAAAAACTCAGGAGAAGACCCCAAAGTGGACATGATCATCCTGGAGGCATTGATATGAGACCCAGGATGTCTACTGACACCCCCACATACTCATAAGATTTATAGGTCAATTTAATTATTTAGAATTAAAATCAACTCTTTCTGGAAGAAGAAAAATGGAAAGTTTCTTGGTAAACAGAATACAGGTGCTGGGGGAATGCGTGGAAGACAGGCCCCATGGATTTGGAGCGATCTGGTGGCTGATGCTAAAGATTCCTCTTTTGAGCTCTCCTGGCTGAGCCCTCGTCCAGTGGGTCTCAGCCTTTCGTGCCCTACGCGCACAGTGGCGGTGTCAACATCCACGACACACATCCAGGGATAAGGACACATGAATCTGTAATCACAGTGTCCCCACCCCACCCCTCTCACTCAAGAAAGATCTCAATTCAAATAAGGAAGACTTTTCCCCTCCAATTTATGAAAGCTACAAATCTCTTCTAAAGTCCCTTGTAATAACTACGATTAGTCATGTTTCCTGTGTGTCCTGCAGAGTAGAACAGTGGTTCTTGGGTCACCTGTTCAATGATTGTTTGCTTTATATACAAAGCTTCAATCAAAATTACTTTCAATTTTCACTAGAAAACTCCCCCATAGTTCTTGGGTCTGTGCCGTTTAGTCAGTTTCTCTTGTTCGGCCATTCTCTCTCTTACTCATAAGAACAATTGGTCATTTTCCTTAAGGAGGTAGCTCAGTGCCCGGACACGGTGTGGGGAGTGGCTGGCATTTTCTGAACTCTCTAAGTTGTCTCTTGAACTTTCCACAGCAACATGAAAAGATGCTATCCTGTTTTACAGATGAGGGATCCCAGGCTCAGGGAGGGTGAGGTTGCACGAGAAACTGTCCGTCTGTCCCAGCTCAGCCCACACTCCCTGGCACCTCTCTGTTCAAACCTCCCAAAGGCTCCCCATTCAGTTTCCCTTGGTAGTGACTTCACTTTTTTTTTTTTTTACCTCTTTTCATTGGTGTTCACAATCATGCCCATTATTGTTGTTCAAAGAAATAAAAGCTAACATGTAGGTTTTTAAATGGTGGGTGTGTAGCCCTGACTGGTTTGGCTCAGTGGATAGAGCATTGGCCTGTGGACTGAAGGGTCCCGGGTTCGATTCTGGTCAGGGGCATGTACCTTGGTTGCGGACACATCCCCAGTAGGGGGTGTGCAGGAGGCAGCTGATCGATGTTTCTAACTCTCTATCCCTCTCCCTTCCTCTCTGTGAAAAATCAATAAAATATATATTTTTTAAAAAAGGTGTGTGTGTGTGTGTGTGTGTGTGTGTGTGTGTGAATTTAGAGCAGGAAACCAAGGCAGACCTTCCTTTTCCCCCTGACCCTTTTGTGTACATGAGGACTAGGCCCTTCTAAAGGGGAACCGCCTCCAATCCCATCACGCTGTGGAAGAGGAGCAAATGGTTGCTCATGAGGTGGGTTGTCCATAAAACCATGCATGAACGCCAGGAAGAGGGTGTGCAGCAACCCCCCCAGAGTGAGGGGAGAGAGAAGAGCTGCCAGACCTTCTCACCAGGAGTGATCAGGAGACACATACTGTTTCTTTGTATTCCAAAAGCTGTCTTTCTGGAACTTTGGGGGCTCAGGAAAGAACAGCCTGCACTTACTAGGTGCATCACAAGACCTATGACAAGTATGATGCCATCAGATACTAAGTGAGTACATTGCTCATTCAGAAATACACTTCTAGAATGTTATCGCACAAGACAGTCCCGTAAACATGCAAGGTGTTACTCGGCACAGGGCAGAGCTTCTTAGCCCCTCCCTCCTGCAAACTCATAGAGTGAATATGGGAACAAGTTCGTTCATCCTCTATAAAGAGCTTTCAGCTCACTGGGAGAGAGGCTGTCCAAGACCAGACGCAGTGTTTAGGATGTGATTTATATCTGCACATTAATCTCTTAAAGAACACCTCATCCCCATTTGAAATGGGGCCAGGCACTGAGTCTCGCTGGCTCTGAGAGCCCTGCTGCTACAGGTATTTAATAACTCAGTGTCAGCAGGATCTTGATTTAATGCCTGCCCAGTTGTAGTTGTTACGAGTGAGTGAAAGAGTGAGTGAAAGGAGGAGGTAACTACAGGCTGCCATGCCTGTGTTGAAATGCACTGAAGAGGGGGTAAATCGATACATTCTTAAAAGGGTCTCTTAACTACTTCTGTTTTTTTTTTTTTTTGACAAAGTTAACATTGTCTTTTTCTTTGGTTTCTGTTTGTTTGTTTATTTTAAGAGGCTCCAGAGGTAAAGCTTTATTTCCACCAATCAGCAAATACATGATATAAAAGACTACAAGTTGACTTAAAAATTATAAAACTAAAAAATATAGTACCGCCCTGGCTGGTTTGGCTCAGTGGATGGAGTGTTGGCCTGCGAACTGAAGGGTCCCAGGTTCAATTTCAGTCAGGGGCACCTGCCTGGGTTGTGGGCTCGATCCCCAGTGGGGGACTTGCAGGAGGCAGTCGATCCATGATTCTCTCTCATCATGGATGTTTCTCTCTCTCTCTCCCTCTTCCTTCCTCTCTGAAATCAATAAAAATATATTTAAAAATATATATAGTGCCAACATTGATGCATTTAACAACTCCCACAAGTATTTTCCGAGTTCCTAGTAGATGCTCTTTCGGATACACAGCCAACAAAGGAGATAAAACACCGGGCCTCATGTAACTTACATTCGGGTGGAGGGAGCTTACACCATTACTTCATACATCACGCCTATATTTATCAAGTGCCTCCCGTGTACCAGGCACTCTGCTCAGTGGTGAGACCAACCAACTTTAATTAGAAAATATCCTCCACTTGAAAGTAATGGGAATCCAAAGCAAGTCATCTGTTCCAGGGTATGAGGCAAGCACGGAGTGAGAGGCAGGTCTATGGTGTCCTGTGTGGGCACTGAGGAGGCATCATCATCTAAAACTAATGTCGGCAAACTTTTTCTGCAAAGAGCTAGACAATATATAATTTAGACATCGTGGGCATTTGGTCTCTGTCGCAACTCTTCAACCTGCTACTGCAGGGCAAAAGCAGCCATACACAATACATGAATGAACGAACGTGCCTGGTACTAATACAACTTCATTTATAGGCCCTAAAATTTTAATTCCATGTACTTTCATGGGTTGTTCATTTTATTCTTTGATTTTTTCTAGCATTTGCACATGTACAAACTCTTCTTAATTTGCAGGCTATTCAAAAATAGGTATTGTATGGATCTGACTGTGAGCCAGTCAAACTTGTGAGTGGTTTACCATAAACCCTTGGCCAAAGGCAGATTAGAGGTCAAGAAAAGCTTACCAGGGAAGGTACTTGGATTTTTAAAGAATAGAGAAGACGCCAGGTTATAAAAAAGTCGAATGATGAGGTACGGGTGGGGAATGAGGAAGGACATTTAAGTTTGAGGAACCAGGATTTTATAGAAAATAAAGTAGAGTGTCAGCAGCATAAAACGCCATTCGGGTCTGGACCTTGAGCAGTGACCTTGGTGAGAACAAGTCCCTGGGAGCAGCGGGGATGGGTCAGGCTGTGGGGGTCGAGTGGGACGACTCGCCAAGATGAAGTATAAAGAGCATTGCTTCCTAAATGGGGGTGCTGCTCTGGTGAAGGGTTAGAGGGTCCACAAATCTCAGACCAAAAAAGGCACATCTTCCTGGTGTGTCATTTTTTACTTTACATGAAAAATGAAATTATATTATAGCCATGCATGCCCACATATATACATACATCAGTATTTTTACTTGACAGGAGGAAACATAGATTATATATTTACACATACATACATTTAGGAATTATATTTTTTTCTCAGGTCAAGTAAAAATGTCATGTGTGTGCGTTAGAGGGTCCACAAATCTCAGACCAAAAAAGGCACATCTTCCTGGTGTGTCATTTTTTACTTTACATGAAAAATGAAATTATATTATAGCCATGCATGCCCACATATATACATACATCAGTATTTTTACTTGACAGGAGGAAACATAGATTATATATTTACACATACATACATTTATGAATTATATTTTTTTCTCAGGCCAAGTAAAAATGTCATGTGTGTGCATATATATATATATATAAAGTCACCTGGAAACCTCATTCCATCTCGTGACAGCGCGAAGTCTTCTGCCAGGTTTCTGAGAATTCCTGGGATAGAGGGTGGTGGCTGGAGACGTCTCTGCTCATGGTTGTCTCTGGCTTCAGATTCTGTATTCCAGCCTCACAGTCCATGTGCCTTGCATTATGGACTATTTGCAAACATGTCTTAATCATCCCGTTATTGTATTGGATTCTGTATCTTGAATCTTACAAACCTGTGATTTAGTGGCCCTCTTCCAAATTGCATTGACCTAATGTGGCAATTGGCCTGTGGCCATCGGCCCTCGTTATCCAGTTCTTCAACGCTGCGTGAGCGTGCGGGCAACGAAGGTGGGGTTGACATTACAGCAATGCCATCGAACACGAGGCATTACTGTTACTACAATCCTCTGGCTCACTGAACCCCACCGGTTACTGTAACCCACATAACGGTCTGTTCTCTTGCCAGTTTATCCCTTTTGTTCTTCTCACATGATTCTGTCTTGTTGCTGTCCTCCTAAATTATAGTTGGGAATTTGAAAGTCTTTTCGCAGTTACGTACAGCAAATACAGGTCTCTCTAGCCCCTCTCCCAAAGAGCAGCTCCATTCTCCCTTTGCATATCCCCACTGGTCAGCGTGGTGCAGGTCTAGAGAGCCTTTATTTAACAGGGGCCAC